TAATTTTAACTTTTTATGCTTTTTTAGCCCTTTACACTAATTTCTAACCTTTTTGATTTAAAACAAATTTTCTGCTGATTTTAGCTTATTTTTGGCTACTTTTCAGCTAAATTCTGCTTTTTGTACTCTTTTCAGCTTATTGTTAATTTCAGCTTGTTTGTGCTCATTTTGGCTTGTTGTCCTTCGACCAGCTACTGATTGCTTTAGTTTTTTTGCTGCTTGCAGCAAATATCAACTGTTCAGTTTAGCAAATAAACTTGTTCAGCCTAGTTTCAGCTTCTTCAGCAGCTTTCAGCACAAACCTTTCAGCAATAATCATTGACAGTGGATTTTCACAGGAAATAACATTTCTCAAGTTTAGCTACGAGACACTTGTATCTCAATGCTGAGTTTAAAATAATTAACTAGTTTTGGATCCAAATGTAGACAAAAGATTCGGAACCGTTTTTATACGTAAAATACAAACTTTATTCATCTGTGCCGCCTCATTAGGAGTCAGCAGGGTAGGCGACACCATTTGTCCAAACAGTGTTGCCGTAGTTTCCTGTGGTCGAAACATGTTGGGTTGAACTTGTCGCTAAAATCTGAAAAATTGACTAAATATTTTAAAATAGTAGTTCAAGTTATGGTTGCGTGACGGTCTGTAGTGAGGACTCTGAAGCGTTTGGTTCCAGTAATGCTAATCCCATTAGCATCTGTGTTTTCAGTGTTAGCATCAAGCTAACTGCTGCTCATCAGCCTGGGACGAACAGTTTTTGTTGCTCGTTACATTCGAATCACGGACAGACTTTTAGTGAAACTAAGTTATGATTGGATGAAACTCAATTCAAGACCGTCGCCACATTTTTAAGGTTTGACCAAAACTCCTACAGTGCACGTGCAGTTCATCAATTCAGTTTATTTATTGAGCATCGAGTCACAACAGAAGTCGTCTCAGGACACGGGACAGAAACATTCACATCCATAAAAAGTCCGTTAACACCGTTATTTATCTAAGGAGCAATTCTCGACTTGACACAGTCTTAGTGGAAACGTGAAATGCGTTCCTCCGAACAATGACACAGAAACACATCAAGAGTTTAAGAAAGTCACTTAAGTATTAATTCATTCAACCTTTATTTAGACAGGTAAGTCCCACAGAGCCTGGAGGACTCGTTTACAGAGACAGCTGATAATAACAACATTATATTATTAATAATAATGAATCATCTCTTCATGATGGCATGTCGGTCCTCTTTGTGAGGTGCCTAAGTATTTTCACCCGTTTAAATGAGTCGGTGCATAAATACAGAGCTGCAGGAGTCAGTGACTCCCTGATAAGACAAATAGAAAAGCACAAGACACCGACCATCACAAAATGAATCTGAGAAGCATGATGGGAAATCTATTTGCAGTCCTTAGTGACAGCTGGGTTCCTGGTAAATAAAATTACATCTCCACCTAGAGCAGCAGCTTGTCTACCTCTGCCTGGCTTAGACCTGGCACTGGCCAACACGCAGCATCGAGTAAGTTCCACGCACTGACGTTCAGGAAGCGCACACACTTCTTGGCTTTACGACTTGAACAAATAAAGGCAGACAGGTGCGCCTGTGTCGGGCAACAGGAGCCCTTTAATCGCAGAGAGCCCGAGCATTCAGCGTTTCCCCTGCGTGACATCCGTCATCGCAGCTCATTTCTCGCCGTGCCCTCCATCTTCAAAACCCTCCACTGACTGGGCTGGCTCGGTACCAGTGCGCCCCCGCCCCCACAGCCAACGGTTCCCTGCCAGTGAAGCAAAGCTCCTTTTCCCCAGGACTTAAAATCCAAAAGGCTACAGCAAAAAAAAGAAAAGTGGTGTGAAAGAGCTCTTTATGAAGCTGGGCAGTGAGAGGCTCACCTGGCTGGTCACTACGCTCAGGGTTGTTGCAGAGGACAAGACCACAGGCAGCAAAACCCACAACAATCCTCACAGTGGACACGTCTCACAGCAGTCAAACGTTGAATCTAAAGGGACTGTACTTACAGCACCTTGCTATCTGATCGAGACACTCAAAGCACTTTACACGACAATCTGTGTCCTCATTTACCCATCATGCACCACTCTACTACATCTCTACAAAGCTAATTGAACAAATCATTGTAAAGAGACTAATCCGTGATTTATCACATTCAGACACCGATGGGACACACATCTGAGGCGATGAGGGGTTCAGTGTCTTGCCCAGGGACACTTCGGCATGTGACTGCTGGTGGATTCGAACCCCCAACTCTTGCATTGGAGGACGATGGTGCTAACCACTCAGCCACAGCCGCCCTGATGATGACTAAAGATTGGCCGTTTCAGATCTTTAGAAATGTACATAGCTGATGGACATTTTGGCCTTAGGATCGCGTCTCTGTTCTTTGCAGATGATGTGGTCCTGTTGGCTTCATGAGATCGTGATCTACAGATTTCACTGGAGCGGTTCACAGACGAGTGTGACACGGCCGGGATGAAGATCAGTTCCTCTAAATCCGAGGCCACGGTCTTGAGCTGGAAAAGGGTAGAGTGCCCTCTCCGGGTCAGGGAGGAGGTCCTGCCCCAAGTGGAGGAGTTCAAGTATCTTGGGGTCTTGTTCAAGAATGAGGGAAAAATGGAGCGTGAGATCGATAGGCGGATAGGTGCAGCGTCAGCAGTGAAGCGGGCGCTGTGCCGGTCTGTCATGGTGAAGAGAGAGCTGAGTCAAAAGGTGAAGCTCTCAATTTACCGATCGATCTACGTTCCTACCCTCATCTCTGGTCATGAGCTTTGGGTTGTGACCGAAAAAACAAGATCTCGGATATAAGCGGCCGAAATGAGTTTTCTCCGCAGGGTGTCTGGGCTCTCCCTTAGAGATAGGGTGAGAAGCTCGATCATCCGGGAGGGACTCAGAGTAGAGCCGCTGCTTCTCCACGTCGAGAGGAGCCAGTTGAGGTGGCTCGGGCATCTGGTAAGGAGATCAACGGTAGGCTTGCTGGAACAAGGAGTCCGAGGTAAGTTTAGGTTTAGGCAAGATACGAGCATGGGGTCAATGGTCAGGAACAGGGGACAGAAATTGGGCAAATGGTTTTTCCTCAAACTACGGAAGATAATAATAATAATCAAATTCATTAACTGTATGTGCAAAAAGACCCATAACTTATTTTCATACCAACAAAAGTATGATTCAAGAATTCAGTGCAATGTAACCAACAAAGTCCATGCTCAATAATCCAGGTAAACAAACAAACAATTTTCAGTCAGCTCATCTGGACGGTTTCTTTTTTTGGTGCTGAAACGTTTCACCTTCCATCCAGAAGGCTTCATCAGTCAAGGAAACACACAACAAAACTGATTCTTCACCAAACATCTTACTCCAAAGTGTAACAAACCAGTTATGTTGGTGCTAAGCTGGTGTCTTTGGCACGCCCCCTCCTCCGGTGTCGGCCCTCTTCCTCGTCAATGCACTTTTCAGTACATTTATATTACAGTTAAGAGTAAATAGGTACACAGTAGTCCCTCACTTATCGCGGGGGTTAAGTTACAGACACAACCGCAGTAGGTGGTGTAACTGACCAATCAGCAATATCGATTTGTCCCGGTGAAACGCCCCTTACCTCTAGAGCTCCACCCCCGTTTTTTCCTACAACACTGGCAAGGTTTTGCATTTCTAACGATTTGCGGTCAGAGGGATTTCATGAAAAATCATCAGAAAAATAATTAAACGTTATTAGTGCTGCACGTTTCTTTCACTTTTGCAGCTTAATAATAAAAACTAATAGTTTAGTTTTCCTGTGAATTATTTGCAGTATGATAAATGGTAGAAGCATAATATACGCTCCCGATGTTTTGTTGGTCTGTTTTTGTAAATAATAAATGACTTTTTTGTGGTTTCATTTTTTATTTTTTTGCATCTTGACATCATCAACTACTCTACTTTCATTATGTTAATGTTGACTTGAAAAATAACGTGGTGTTCAACTACGTTGTTCAAGCCAAGAGCCGTCGTCAGCACTGGGGGGTAAGCACCCCTAAAGGGCAGATTCTAGAATCGCCCCTGGTCGCAGGTGAACTCAGTCCTGCCAAATGTTAATTTTTCTTTTTAATATTGCAAAACTCATCAAAAAAACAAAATAATTCACCTTTCGTCCAAGCATTAAAAGCCAACGTGTCAGAGACGAGGCTCCACATGGCCCGAGCGGTGAGGAGAGTCTGCAGTGATTACTCAACCTCACGTGCTCAACGAGCCCAATTAATTTACTAATTAGGCTTAAAGTGTCTTGCCTGTCCTCTTAAAGAACAAGTCTATTGAAACCAATGTCACAGCAGCCTAGCAGCTAAGAGTTGCCACTTTAAATCTGTAAACAATGAATGAACTTCCACAAACACTAAAACACGTCCGACCAGGTGTTCAAAGTTCCTCACACAGTCGGAGGAAGATGCCAGGGAACAGGAAGGTCACGCGGCGACGCGTTCACCGAATGTGGTGCAACACCGGTGTAGCAGAGGACTTGGTCCAAGCGGAACTAGGGTCAATGACGGGGGGCGGGGGGGTCAGAGGCTCAGTCGGCGCCGCTTGGGGGGAGAAGGTCGTGGAGAGGCGGACAGGTAAGACCAGCAGGAGGGGAGCTTCTTCCACAACCTGTTCCCCAAACGAGGCGCTGAACAACCGGGTCCCGTTAGCCGCCTCGGGCTCGCGCCCCGCTGGGGACGCCTTTCTTTCCGCGAGGACTGTGGTGCGCGAACAGAACGAGCCCGCCAGCTCGCTGCGCCACCGTGCAGCGACTAAACGCCCCCCCCCCCCCCCCAACAAAACAACAAACGTCTGTGTAAATAAATAAATAAATAAATAAGCTAGCATCGCGTTAGCTCCGAGGCGCGCGCTGCCTCCGTTCGACCACCACCACCGCAGACACAAGTCGCCCACTCCCGAACACGCGCCTTTATTGAAATAAACACGCGCAGCGCCTTCCCTTTGATCATGGAGCTCCGCTGCGTGAAGGTGACACGCGCCCCGGCTCACCTTTGTAACGTCTCCCCTCGGCAGCCGGTCGGTCGGTGGCGTTAGGCGGCGGCAGAGAGCCTCCGAGCCCCGCGACGATCCGTGGACTGTGGTCGGTGTGTGGGAGCGGACCGAGCTCGGGATCCACGCAGGACTCTGGTTCGGTTCTGCCCACAGCCAGGGACCGTCTGAGTGTTACCCACCGCGCACAAAGCGGAGCAGGAAATAAGTGCGCATGCGCAAAGCCGGTATTCTGCATATATTCATACCCACTTCCGGTTTTGATGTTAAATTTGTGTTGTTCGTGTTTTTGTGACTCTTTGTTGTTTTTTGTGTTGTTCGTGTTTTTGTGACTCTTTGTTGTTTTGCGTACAGTTTTCAGCTGTTTCAACAAGTCGTGAATCAAAACGTTCGGCTCTTTCAGGACAATCCTGCTGTGCCTTTTGGTGCAACTTTAGCTGTTTGAAATATTTAAACTTTTCTGACACTTTTTTCCTCTTACAAAATGAATTGAGCTCATTTTACCTCCTTCAAATCTTTAAATCTGTTTATAACCTTTTACTGCTCCTTTCACATTTTGTTCCACTTCAGCTTCTTTCAGCTTCCCTTGTGCAAATTTAAACTTCTTTCAGCCATTTTCAGCTAATTTCAGCTGTTTTGCAGCTGGTTCGTGCTCCTTTCAGATTCTGTCAAAACTATGTTTTTCTGCTTCTTCTGATTTCTTTCTTCTAATTTCAGCTTATTTCTGCAAGTTTCAGTTTTTTCTGCTAGTTCAGCTACCATTTAGCTGTTTTATGCTCATTTTAGCATTTTCAGCTAATTCCACATTTTTATTTCATTTCAGCTTTTTCTGCTTCCTTCTGGTAGTTTAAGCTTCTTTCTGCCTATTTAGCTTTTTTTTTTTTTTTTGCTAATTGCAGCCTTTTTTTTTTTAGCTAATTTCCTAATCTTTGTGCTAATTTCTGCCTAGTTCAGCCAATAAATTATTTTTGCTTTCTTCTGTTAATTAAAACTTGTTCTTTAATTTCAGCTACAGTGCTTTTAGCTAACTTCAGCTGTTTTGAAAAGCAGCTGCAAGTTCTTCAGCAATAAGCATTCACACTGTATTTTTACAGGAAATGCAACTTCTCAACCTTTTTGTTGTTGTTTATGCTCATTTGTTATCACTGACTATGTCCACCTTATCAGACAAAAATATTAGTAATCTTTTTAAAACAATGCTTGGTAAGTTTCTTTCGGCTGCTCCCTCTTCAGGGGTCACAACCACAAGTGAACTCGCATGAAACATTTGTCTATTTGTTTTATGTCAGATGCCCTTCCTGATGCAACTTGGGCTTGAACCCACAACCTCAGGATTACAAGACCCCAGCACTAATCACCAAGTTACCGTATTCTACCAATTTATTCTACCAATTTATTCTACCAATATATTCCACCAATATATTCTACCAATTTATTCTACCAATTTATTCTACCAATTT